CTGCTTACTTTCAAACATGGATGAACCACAGTCTAGTTTGTGTACTGAGGCCTTACAGAAAAGTCTTGACTAAGCGGTGTCATGGTGGCCAGAAGTTATGCTGACCATGAATCACAACAGCTCAGGTTCACGTCAACCTTTCTCGTAGACTTTCAGTAGAAGACTGAAACTGGACTTCTCTTTTTTGCTTCTTGAAAACATTTCACCTCTGACTTCAGCGACATCTTCAAGAACCAGAAAGAGAAATTTGCTGAATCGCTCAGGATTCCTCGTATGTCACTCCCATTCTCCTGTGCCCTTTGTTTCTTGTCTTCTCTCTCCCATGTTTCTCTAAAAACACCCTAAAATGCTGCAACAATCCATTGTTAAAAAGTCCAGATTATCATCTCTCTGAATTGAGGAAGGGAAGCAGAGGAAGAGTCGATTTAACCTCAATGCACTCCTTGACACACTGCATTATTTCCTTAAGGGATAACAGACAAGAAAGTAACTTACCTTCCTAATCCTAATCCCTTCTATTAATTGGCTACCCTTATGAGGAGTGCACTCCTACAAGTGCTTATACTATAGTCTAAAACCAATTGCATTTCTATGGAAAGAGCCCTCATCTGTTTATTTATTCCACGTGAAAGCACCCTGTGCATTGAGCGATACATGTCACGTTTTATTCCTGTGCGAGGCCATAGTTAACATTCCTGCCCTGTTACCCCCACCGGCTCAGAGCCTCCCATTTTTGAGTCAGCCATTCCTCTGTGTGTGGAGGTAACAAGCCAGAACAGTCTACATTGTACTGCCGCTATTGAGAGACTGGACACTGATACAGCCCCTGGCCTCCACATTCAGCTCTCTGGAAATCGCGCCAGAGAGGTCACCTGGAGCCGAAGAGGAAGAAGGAATGGAGATATCTGGAGGCGAGTGGACGGAGGGAAGTAGGATGGATGGCAAGGTGTGGAGGTAGAGACAAGAGGAAAGCAGCGCTGATGCAAAGCGAGGGACAGAAATAGTTGCTAGAGGAAGAATTTCCCCCTCTATTTGCACAAGTGGCCAGACAGTCCACTACTCTGTGATATGCAAAACAAGCCGGCAGCAAGCACTTCTTCTCCGCCTACGCTGACAGAACGGCAGTATGCAGGATCAATGGCTCGATCCCCATCAAAGCCCACTCCGCCCCAGCGGCAGAGGTATACTCAAGACTGAGGCTTCTGTCCGGGGCCTCACGGAGAGACAGGCAGCAGTAAATTAGAGAGAAACTGCAAAGGAGGAGGAGGAGGAAAGTTGAAGAGGGGATTGACTGATCATCAGATGAAAATTAGAGGCGGGCGACGCAAGAAGATAGAAAATCTCCTAATAGACGGTCAAGAACTCAACTCAGGATTTAACCACGAGGAGTTTGTGGAGCCGTCATGCCGACATCGAGGGGAGGCAGGCTCCGCAGGAAGGGCTGCTCCCTGGCCAGGAGGACCCAACGGCAGGCCACGGCAGCATGGAGGCTGCTCTACAGACTGCTCTTCATGGTGACCAGGAGGCTGGGAGAGGTAGCGTAGTTAAGTGTGATTAACGCTTAATACTCCAATATTTGATGCAGTTTTTTTTTTTTTTGAGAGAGCCTCATTAAAAGAGATGATAGAAAGTCACCAGCCCTCCACTGGGGTTTTTAAGTGTCGCTGCTCCTGAAAGTGAGTACGTTCAATAAGGGCTCTTTGATTTAGTGTCAGAATAATGTGGTTTAACTGTGAGAAGAAGGCTGCTGTGTGAGGGTAGCTAGTATGTCATCGTGGGATTTCTAAAAGAAAGTACGGATTTTACTCGTCTTGAAAGGTGCAACATTTTCAGATGAAACCCTTTGCTCTGGCCTCGGGGATCTAACAAGTGGGCATCATGTACATGATTACTGAAAATGAAAAGAAATGTTGCTCCATGTTGCCAGAATGCAACTGGAGATGAAATAACAACAGTCTCTGGTTCATTTTTTCTCCCCTCACCTCCAAAGGTTGACAAAGAATTATTTTCTAAATCGACTAAAGGGCACGAGCGGAGGGAGAAAACACGATCTCAAGCTGACACCTGTCAGCAAGAAAACCTGAACAGGAATTCACAGCGGCGCTGTCAGATCCACTTGTTTTTCGTGGCGCTCCCAGTCTTTTCTCCCGCCTCTCCTGGCTCCTGTCCTCAGCTCTTAATTGGTTATTTGGGCTAGCTGTCAGCCTGTGTTGGGGGGATTTGTTGTGAGGCAATTGCAATTCCTGAGTCATGACTGTGCAGCCCCCACCCGTCCTCCTTCCTCCCCTCTTTCTTTCTGCCCACCTTCTCTCGTCACGCTCCAATGCAGGTATCTGTCATTTAGTGTTGATGAAAATCTTACTTAGGAAGCCTGTGTGAGAGATGAAAGTGTGTTTCCATGTGCACACATCCCCAACCATCAAGCCAAGCATATTCTCTCCCCCCTTTTTTTTTTCCCTCCCATCCCTCCCAGCTTTGTGCGTCCTCCATCATCTCATTAATGTGTGCGTGAGGTGAACATGAGCCAGTATCGCTCCGGTATGGGGGTGTGATGAGAATTAACTCGGCACTTGAGTGGCGGTATGTGCTACCGGGCGCACACATGTTTCCGAGGACCCAGACAAGCCTCCCCTTCGGGTGCCTGTAGCTGAAATAAACGGCAAGATATGACTGTTATCTGTCTCCACAAGGCTGCTCTCCCCTGTCTGCAGCTACCAGTGGGCTATTTGATGAATATGTCTCTCTGATATCCTTCAACCTCTGTGTTTCCTTCAGGCAATCTCCCCTTGTCCGCCTGCCTGGTACATTATAGAGTTTCCCCAGAGCGTGTATGAGTGAATGAGGGCTGACTGCGGCTGTGTGTGGCAGCAGCATCATCAGCAGCGTCTCAGGCAGATATTATGATCATTAAATGGATAGTAATGCATCAGCAGCTGTAGTTACTTTGGGGAAACGCTTGAGTGGGTTTCTGATCGAGAAGTGTTTAGTCTAAATGAATGTTGATGTGCACCAAAACTAAATGTTTGGAATAAATCATAAAGTTTCCTATTAGGCCAGATGTAGCTGCGTGAACAACATCACGGTGCCGCTTGCGAAGCTGTAGATCCCGCGTGCTGTTTCGAGCGCTAATGGAGCATATGCTTGTTTGTCAGCCCAGGCGGTGCATGTTTACACGTACAGGTGTGTCAATTTGCACTACGGGGGTGTCTTGTGCTCTCTATTTGGAACATTAGTCCCTCCGCCAGCGCACGGGGAGACATTAAGTCCCCTCATAATTATCGGCCCACATTCAAAGAACTCCGGAGTGGAGCGCTGCTGTGGGCGGTGGATCACTTGAAAGAGGCTTAGCCCAGACATACATAGAGGACAGCGAGAGGAATTTTCCCCCCTTCTGTCTCTTTCTTCTCTCTCTTTCAGCGCGTCACTCTCAGACACACACGGTCTGTGCCAGAGTACCGGAGGGCCGTCTCTGGAGTGACCATCATATAATGAGCTCGCTGATGAGTCGCAGGCTTATTAACGGAAGCGTTGATTGTCTGTGGGCACCCTGGGAGTGGGTGGAGGAGGGCTGTAGCTCCACACCGGTATAAGAGCTGAATGACTCAGACAGGGCTTTCACATGCTGCTTGGGAAGGGTGCATGCATGCGTTACCAACACCTGCAGCGTCAGAACTGAAGGCTGAATCGATCCCTGTTTGTTGCTGTTTGGTAGGGAGCCGCTCTTGACTGCTTGCTCATGCGATATTTAAAATACCATCGCACGCGCACGCACACACACGCACGCACACACACAGGGAGAGTGCTGAGCAGCTGTTTTGCTTGGCATTGTGGCTGTCCCACCGTGCTGCGTTGCTGTGTGGAACCTGCTATTACTGGCACTTACCAGCCTCTGCTGACTGTAGCGGCTGGCCACAGATTATAATGCTACATCATGCCATTCACTCGGAATGAGGAGGATTGGCTATCATGAGACTATTTTTAGCCCTGAAATCACATCATAATTGATGGCTTGCGCGCTACACTCTTTGCAAAGCTCGCTGCAGTTGATGAAGCGTTGCACTTGACTAGCTTGTCAGGTAAGAAATTAGGTGGGATTTTGATTAAGTGTACATACATTTGTTGTCATGCTTGAGAAGAGTATAACACAAGGTGCCAACTGTGGTGGGAACTAGAGTAGGGTTTTCCCTCACTGCTTCTTCTTCTTTTTTTTTTAATATGTTTCACAGGGACTAGAACTGAGGAGCACGTAATGGTTCATTTTCTGCCACAGTTGCTCACAGACTACAAAATCTTACCTGCCATAGGCAAAAAAAAACGTCGCAGTGTGGTGCCTACGGCTGATGTTAATTTTCCTTCCCCAGGCAGTACAGTCCGGCTTAAAGTGATTCGGATTATCTGTTTTCCGTTCCTAAATGGCGCGACGCTGAGTTCTCCACGGGGTTCCACCTACCGAGGCTGGAATAAATCCTACATTTTGTGAATGAGCTGGAGAAAGAGCGCACTGTTAACCCCTCCACCGCCCCCGTCACATGAGAACTATTACAAACTAATGCATGACCTCTTGGGATTTTCTGGCATGTCAAATTTTCCACAATCGATGTGACACAAAGCTGCATAACCGTCCATTACGGATTTAGAAGAATAATGTAATGTTCTGTAATGCTATCTGCTTGGATATCCAGTTAGTGTTTCAGATGCACTGTAAAAGTCTTTGATGCAAAGCCAATTAGCATAGAGTGCATAACTAAATCTCCATAACGCTCTTAGTATACCCAGGGGGGATCACTGACCATGCACGGCGTAGAATTATATACATCATTATTTTATAAAGCTTTGGAGCTGGAATCATTAGAAGTGGATTGTTAAATGAAACATGTTTTTAATGGATCCTTGAGAATATATGTGTGAATGCAGGTGTGTTTCCGTTACCCAGCCGCCTCTTGCAATCTCAGAGCCGCCTAACCTAAATAAACCACCTCCCTCTCTGTCGCCCCCTACAGAGCGTGGACACCGTGTGCACTCTCTACCAGAACTTCCAGGAGGGGACGGGCTCGGGCGCCGGGGGTTTGATGGATGACGCCAGGGAGCCTTCGGCGAGGCAGGGAGGGGAACCCGGTCCTTCAGGAGGGGCCCCCCTGCTCAGACCTTGCCCCAAGCACATGAGCGCCACGGAGAGGTTACGCAAGGTCATCCAGGAGCTCGTGGACACGGAGAAGTCGTATGTGAAGGTGAGCGCGCGAAGCTGTGAGCGCCGTAACGTTTCTCCCAAGAAGCCGGCATGAATATTTGATTAAACTCAACCTCATACTTTCTAAAGATTTAGACAGCCGCTCCGCTGTCCCATTTCTTTCCAACACTTTTTTGATGTCAGGTACTTAATATAATGCAATGCTTGCAGGAGAGATATGGGAAATAAAAAAATGTTTTTAAAATAGTGTTTCCTGAGACACAGTTAGAGACAGCCTTATTTATTTACCTCAATCATTTTGCTGCCCCTACGTTTTTTTCCAATATGACCCCTTTCTCCCTGACGCACATTAAAATCCACGATCATAATCTACACTTGGCTGGTATTTTTTTCCCCTCCTTCATGTTTTTTCATTTAGTCCCCTTTTCCCCTCGCACGCCTCTTCTTCAACCTGATTCATAATTGAGGGAGGAGATTGTCTTCCCGGAGTGGCTTGATTCAGGCCTGTATCCATGCACTGGCGGCGGCGGCGAGGGGAGAGGGGGGTGCAGGAGGAGGAAGCTCATAAATCAACCTAATGAGAATATCCCCACTGATACCAAGACAAGCTACAGCCACATTAAAGGAGAAGGGGGGTGGGTGGAGAGGTGACTGTGGGAGAGACAGTTGGAGGTTATAAAGAGAGACACGAGGGGTGATGGGATGATGAAAGAGGTTTTTCAGGACATGCAGGTTGGGGGGACCACGTCTAGTCTTGTTGTTTTGCTTCTGACCTTTTGGGTTTTGTTTGCGCAGGACCTGACGTGTTTGTTCGAGATCTACCTGAAGCCGCTGCAGAATGAAACCTTCCTCACGCTGGATGAGGTAGGTGGTAGCGGGAGTGTGTGTGTGTGAAATGTGGAGCATGTAACGAGGTGTGTAGCGCCCAGAGGCTTGGCCTGGGAGGTGCTGATTCTACACAGGTTGTCTAATTCATTGAGTGTTTATTACCCATCGATGAACTCTGCTGGGCCATATCTGCCTTATTACCACTCTGACTGCCTCGAGGACAAATTAGCATTCCCCTACACTGACCTTCCGGCATCCCAGGGGGACGCACCAATAAAGGCGAGCTTAAGAGTGAACCCACCATCGAAGCGCTCACCTCGGTTTATTATGCCACGGTGTAGCCGTCTACTGATTCCTGTTCTTCATTAAGAATGTGGGGATTTTTTTCCCCACCAGTTAAAAACACTTTAAATTAAAGCCATTATTCTGTGCTGCTGTGACAACATATAGCGTCGCCGCAGCATGCTAATGACCCTGGCGTTGCAGTTTTTCCAGCCCTGCGTGCAGCGCCGCGCCGGGCATGACCTCAAACACAGGACGCGCCTCCCAAGACACACTAGTCGATAGGCCACTGAACACTGGGGCAAATTAAAAGGCCATTATGGGACAGTGGGACGTGTCCAGACACACAGTGGACAAGGGCATGTTTGGCCCTGAATAGCTTTTAATGAAGGGAAGTGGTGACCCTGGCTGTGCTGGAGAGTGTGTGTGCGTTCGAGAGGACAAGTTTGTACGTTTATGTGTTCGTAGCGGGCCCATATCTTGTCCCTAAGTGCCTTTGTCAGAGATGGAGCCATCAGAGTGGAGGTTTTATAACACACCAGGGTGCCCGTGTGACTGACGGTTATGAATTACAAGCTATCTCGCCTCTTTTTTTTTTTTTCTTGCCGTTTCATATTCCCTCGCTCTCTCCCCCTCCTCTGTTCTCCTTTCATACTTCCTTATCCATCAACCGCCCACAATTCCATTCATCTATTCTTCTCCTCTTTCCGTCCATTACTCTACCTAACTTGTGCCCCCGTTCTCTTCCCCAGATGGAGAGCCTGTTTGGCAGCCTGCCCGAGATGCTGGACTTCCAGAGGGTCTTCCTGCAGACGCTGGAGGAGAGGATCGCCTCCTCGCCTGACTTCAGCACCCTGGAGACCCCGTCGCAATTCAAGGTGAGACGCAGACACTCGCTATCGATGAAACGTCTGAGGATTTAGCGCGGATTCCTCGGGTGTGAATATACAGAGCATTATTCTCAAACACGCCGATTTTCATCCGCCAATCCGAAGGAAGGCTTAATCTTTGAGATCTTGAGGTTTATAAGTAATTCAGGTGGCGTGACAGGAGCATCACCGGCTGATTTATAGGCTTGACATGACGAGCTTGTGGGGTCCATCGATCGAGGCGGCGGTTCACTGGTCGGATTGTGAGCCGCTGAAAGCCGGTGTGCTCAAGAGGTTAGGCGTGAGGGAGAGGACAGAGAGGGGGGCGCTTGAATCGTCTCCCAAGAGAGGGAAGGACATGGTGATCCGGTCATGACTTCACATGTTCGCACTCTTTCATGCTCTCTCCTGCTCCGTGTAAAACCACTCTCCTCCGTCTCTGTGCGCGACACTCAGTCACCGACTTTGTTTTTCTCTCTTCACAGAAGCTGCTGTTCTCTCTTGGGGGTTCGTTCCTCTACTACGCTGACCACTTCAAGCTCTACAGCGGCTTCTGCGCCAACCACATCAAGGTCCAAAAGGTCCTGGAGAGAGGTATGTACGCCTAAACGCATGAAGAATACACAGCGGCCTACATACACTCCTGCTGCACGGGGAGATGGGAGAACTGGCATGTAACAAATACATCTAATCCAAAGTGTGCCACGCCCCTGCTAAAATGGGCTTCCTTGCACCTGTGTTGCATCAGGGACACCTCAAGGCACTCGCTGTTGAAAGTTTGGCCTTCTCGTTTGGGAAGCAAATCAATTATGTATGAAAGTAAATGTCCCAGAGTGAGACAGTGGATGAAAGTGAGGTGAGTGATGCCTCTCCAATTTATCGCGAGCTCCGGCTCCATCTCCAGCATCCTGCACACAAGCATTAGAGATGCCAGAGAGAACGCTTTCCACCTCTCGTTTCGTGATCTACGGCTTCGAAACATCCGAAGCTGCTGCCCGTCTCGCAAACAGGTGCAATTTTAAACACATATTGATACAGAGACTTTGGATAACCTTGTCCACTAACAGCTGATGTGTGACCGTGACAGCCTGAGAGTCCTAATAACTCCTTGCTTCTCCCGCAGCATGTGACAGTGTAGAAATTTTAAAGTTGATTTATGCCCGCTAAGACGCCGGCCTCCCTGCCACTTATTTGGGACGGCTGCCCGGCGCGGAGTGAAATGTAAGAAGATTGGCTTCTTTTTGCCAGTGTGGGATGGTGTGGGGAGGGGGGGGCAAATTGCCCTCCCTGCGCCGCTTAAATCTGCCCCATTACCAGAATTGTTTGGGATATTCCTCGAAGTAAAGCGGCGGGATGGATGTTTAATAGGATTAGACGGGAAGAAAAACCCTCAAAAGTCTCTGATGGGTCAGAATCACCTAGAGGAGGATAGAGTGTGGCAAATCTGATTAGCAAACAACAGCGGTGCATCAAGAGAGTTTGGGTACTGTTAAATATTTTGATCAGAAAAATATGGTAAAGATGTAGTAAGTAACTAACAGGATGTGAAAAGACCTTTTCCTGGAGTCTGTGTGACATTTAGAGATCACAGATTGTTCCAGAATCACACTCAAATAGATATTTATTTAAAATAACTGTAAAGAAAATGTGAATGTGCCTTAGATTTATACAGGCTTTTTATTTATATATATACACAACACCTGTGATCTTGGCATAGTGATAATTTTTAAGTGCCTCAGTTTGTGGCCAGCGCCAGCTTGGCACCAAATATTTCAATGAGGGGGAGAAAAAAAGATGTCCAAGTAACATTTAACAGCAGCCACAGGGTTTAAGCAGCCTATCCTTGAACCAAAGCTTTAAATGATGGGGGGGAACCCTGTTATAGTCGCTGAACACAAACTAATATTTGGAACAGGTTGCACAATAATTGCATATTACAGATTTTTTTTTTTTTTAAAACTGCCAAGGCACCAGTTGCGCACAGTGAGTATAAAGTTGGCTCAGCGCAGTCCAGCTGATCCAAGGACACACCAAAAAAAATTAAATAAAGAAATCCGCGGGTGTTTGTCAGGCCTTTAAGTAATTATATGCCCATCCCTGCCATCTTCATCATCCCCTCTCTCCCTTCCCCACTCATGCCAAGGGCCCCGGGTTGCCTTAGTTTCTCTGTTTATTTGTCGACTCGTTAATTGCCTGCCAATTACTCTGGGAGGTGTTGATGCGGCTGCCTGTCTGTGGCTGGGAGTGCTATAATTAATACTTTAATGGCCCCCCTCAGTACGCGTCGTGGAAGTGCGCTGCTCAGAGAAAATGTCACCACCTTTACAGAGAGCCCATTATGTCTTACGCGCACACCTGCCGTCTCCAAGCCACGCCGCCGGCTTCGGTGCGGTCCCAACTTGGTTCTTTTATGAGGCTGTAAACAAGGGAGCTCTGCTTTTTAAGAAACTCTTCAAGATGTGTCTTTTATTTTTTTTGCTTTGTGAAAACACCTTGTCTTTAGTTGTTGTGATAACTGTAGACTTGGTGTCTACACTTTGATGCAGTCAGGGCAGGTGGAGGAGAAGCCTACACCACCCCCTGCTGGAGGCCTGCTCCTGCACCGTGATCCTGCACCGAACCACGTTTAGCATCATTTGATCTTTCTCTATGCATGCTTGAGATCACTAAAGAGCATCTGAAAGATCCACGTCCATTCAGCTTGTGTGTTTCTGTTTGTTTTAGCCAAGACCGATCAGGCCTTCAAAGAATTCCTGGATGCGAGGAACCCCACCAAGCAGCACTCCTCCACTCTGGAGTCGTACCTGATTAAGCCGGTGCAGAGGGTGCTCAAGTACCCCCTGCTGCTGAGGGAGCTGGTCTCTCTTACCGACGCTGACAGCGAGGAGCACTACCACCTCACCGGTAGGAAGATGCTCACGCAGGCCGTTCTTTACATTCCCATGTTATTATATCATGACAAATGACAGCTTCACACGCAATGAGCAAATAAAATCCGCTACTGTAACCAGCACGTAATCCCCGTTAACGCTTTGCTTTGCCCTCCGTCCACGCAGAGGCTCTGAAAGCCATGGAGAAGGTGGCGAGCCACATCAATGAGATGCAGAAGATCTACGAGGATTACGGCTCCGTGTTTGATCAGCTTGTTGCCGAGCAGACTGGCCACGATAAAGAGGTGGATGCACGTTTCGGAATTAGCTTTATAAATCTTCTCCAAGCATTGTAAATATATAGCAGAGTTTTAAAAAAACATTGGGGACACCTGCTAGGAGAGGCAGGAAGAATTCAAATCTTTATCACAATCGGTTCTAACTGCTGGAGCTCGGCTAACTATCGGCACGTCGGAGTGGAGCTGGTGTTGTTTACGCCCTTCCTCTGTGCATCGCCTCCAGGGATTGAATACATTTACAAGTTGATGGAATATTTAGTTAGTAACCACTGCAAATATTCAAAGTGAATGCTAAATAATGTTGTCTAGGCTACTGTGTGTCTGCCGTGTACTTAAGCAGCTCTGAAAGACCGTTTAAGGGTTCAGTTGAAAATCAGTTTTCAGTACAAACACCGGCTTGTAGCGTCTGTGGGGCTCCGTTCACAGACACGCTCACTTAGTATGTATCTCACACAGCCATGAAAAGCCAAAAAAAAAGTCTGGCTTGTTTTTCTGCTGCCTCCACTCTTTTTAAACTGTCTCCTGCGTCTCTCTCTCTCAGGTCACAGAGATTTCTATGGGAGAGTTTCTCATGCATTCCTCAGTGGTCTGGCTCAACCCTCATCCGTCGCTGGGCCGCATGAGAAAAGACCCCGAAATGACCGTGTTTGGTGAGTTGTTTTTCACTGTCAATCATAGATGTTTGTAGTTAAACGTGTAATCAAGATAAACCGAGCATTGGCTTTGTCGTCGAGCCACACAGACTCGGTGGCACTCAAACTGATCTCAGTGAATTTTAATATCCATATCTGTACCGCTGATATGCTTTAACGCTCGGAGCTGGCATCTAAAACGCTTCCGTGGGTTGCGCTCCTTCAGTCGGCTTTCCCCAAGAGGCATTTGCAGTCAAAACTAAGACACTGATGTGTTCTCTCTCTCTCTCTCTCGCCAGTGTTCAAGAAAGCGGTGATATTGGTCTACAGGGAAAACAACAAGCTGAAGAAAAAGATGGTAAGTATTGTGTCTGCTGCATTCGCTTACTTCCTCATGACGCAAATAGTGAATTTCTCTTTCTTACCCCATGTGGCATTTTTTTTTTTTTTGACCAGACCAACCCTCGCGCTGCTCTTTCTCACGGAGATTCGGACCCGTTCAAGTTCCGCTGGCTCATCCCGCTGTCGGCGCTGCAGGTCAGACTGGGAAATACTGCAGGTAAGAGGCCGACACGGCGCCACATTATCCCCACTAAATCACTCACCAAGTACAGCCACTAAATCTCTCTGTTCCTTCCCTTCCTCTCTTCGCATTACTCCGCACACCCCTAAGCTCATTGTGCTTGCCCACACACCCCTCTCCTGGCATTTCTATTCAGCACCCTCCCTTCTTATCTCCTACTGAAGCCATAAACCATATTTGGACTGCGTGATTAAAAGCTGCTGCTTTATTTTCGCAGGAGCCGGAACGGAGAGCAGCTGCATCTGGGAGCTGATTCACTCCAGGTCTGAAGTGGAAGGGAGGCCGGAGACCGTCTTCCAGCTGTGCAGCAGGTCAGAGATTAAACCATCAGGTGGAGTCGGTGCTGCAAAATTCTGGCAATTGATTCATGGAGTACGATTTTCTTTTTACCCAGAACATATCAAAATTGGGTTCAGTGGTAATAAAGGGTTCCTGCTGGTTTTGTAGTTTTGTAGGCCACTATTTTTTCTTACTTATATAAACAGTGTGCTTATTAGGATCTGGGAGCATGATGACGCCAGACAGGAAGAGGAATATAAATAGTGTTCAGATATATTCACTTAATCCACCTTTTATTGCACAGGAAAACTGCACATGATGTTATAGCAAGCACAGTAGGTCAAAGTTGAACCAGAAAGTTAGTCTGTAAACTGTGACAGATGCTTACAGCGGAGAGTTTGGATGATTTGAACCACACCAATTCCAAATCGGTTTGGCCAACCTCTGCTTTTAACAGCTGGCCACAGTTTAAAACCACAACGCCTTTTACACAATTATTTATGTGCAAATTAAAATAATGAATGTGGTACTTACTAAGCATAAGAGATTTTTATTTTTTCTTTACCCGTTCTGAGTCTTAATGCTAAGCTAGCTCATCCATTGAATGTGTGATGCTAATTTCTTTCCACTATAAATGCAAATATCTCCTATTCAAGTAGTTTTTTTTATACATTGATTAGTAATATTCAATTCAATTCAATTCAATTTTATTTGTGTAGCACATATTTGCAACAACAAGTCATCTCATAGCGCTTAACAAAGGCAGAGACAGAAACACCCAACAATCCAAAACATCTGGATTCCCTATAAGCTTCAGCAGTCCTTCTGCCCATACACCCCTCTACTGTACTATATAATACTGTAAAGGCACTTGTTTTTCTATCATGTATCTATAGCCTTGGCATTTTGACCCGTAGATCCCATGTCAGCTCTTGTTTCAGCATTTAATTGTTAAAAAAAAACCCCTGTCCACATGGATGAGAGTGAAGCCTGTGTCCAAACTGGTAATTCTCATTACACACTGTGAAATTGGGATCAGTCCTAATGAATTAAATCAGCCCTATTTCTCCGGGGACACAATGGAACTCTCTCGCCAATCCTCTTCATCTATATTTAGCGTCTGAAATCAAGTTTAACGTGCCCTGCGCTCGCGTTACTATGGTACCTCTGATGTGTCCTCCTCAGTGTGCCGGAGAGCAAGGTCAACATCATCAAGGTGATCCGCTCCATCCTCCGGGAGAACGTGAGGAGGAACATGAGGAGCGAGGGCACGTTGGAGAGGGGCTGCAAGGAGCGACTGGCCCCTCTGCGCAGCACCCTGCCCTCCTCCGCCAAGATAGGTACGTTTTATCCAAATCAAGATCCATGAAGCATCTGCTCGTAGGCGCTGCTTCCTGTAGAAACATGTCTGCACTGAAGGGATTCTTACCGATTGGCTGTTAAGGCTATTAAATGTACTTGACAGATGATCTTTTTTTAAGGTCACAAAATGCTAACGGTGCAAGTGTTTGGCTCAGATAAGAGAGGCGTTTCTGACTTCCGTCTCCACCTTTGTTACCAGGTTCCTCCAGGGCTTCCTGGTTGTGCAAGCAGCCGCTCGGTGAGCTCTCCTCTCAGGGTGGGAATCCCAAACCGGGGCCAGACTCGGACGAGGGAAGCCTCAGCAGCGGAACCTACAGTTTGTCTGGAGCTCCTCCGGCCTGCACGTCCTCTGACTCGCACGTCCTCCCCGTCCAGCAGAACTGGACTCAGGCGCGCGGGCCCAGCTCGCAGCCCCGCTCCGCGTCCGTGAAAGAGTCGGATATTTTAAGCGACGAGGACGACGACGGCTTCAGCGAGGGCGGGACGAGGAGAGACAGCGGAGACAGCGGCTCCCCGACCAGTGCAATCGAGGCTCAGTTCCTCCACCTTAAACTGTCAGAGGACGCCGTGTCAAAATGCGCGCCGGCGCCCTGCGTTCAGCCTGAAGGAGTCGGGGACACGCCGGAGATCCAACCCAAACTAGTGCGAGGACACTTCAGCGCCGTTAAGAGGAAAACCAGCAGTCTGAGAAGGAGCCAGGGCGCGCTGCTGAACATGAAGGAGCAGAGCAGGTCGCTGGACAGCCAGACGGACGCGGCGTGCGGGGCGGTGGACCTCAACGCTCTGCTGGAGAGAGAGTTCAGCGTCCAAAGTCTGACATCTGTGGTGAATGAAGACTGTTTCTACGACCCATCTGAGAGCTGCGCCACTGACTCTGGAAACGCCACCTCCTCTTAGGGACCAGACAGAGCTGAACTGTACTGTACCTGGCACACGAATGCTGTCACAAATGGGGAAACCCCTGTGGCTCGGAGGCTGTGAAGCTTTGCCTGAGCGCAGAAGTCAGTTTAGTTAGTTTCACACCCACCACCTGCAAAAGGTTAGGTGTAAATGAGCTGCTCTGATGGAAGCTTATTGGCTGCCAGACCAGGTTCCTTCCCCCCCCTCCCCTAGAGAGGTGAAGTGAGGTGATTTCTGTCTCACTGATAATACCTGCAATGAATCTGTCAAGCACAATGCATCTGCAATCTCCTCAGACCTCTGGGCTTCCAATTCTCCCCACAAACCATCTGACTGACGTATTCCATTCAAGTTTTCCCCCCGCAGCTCATGCTGACGGGCAGTTTTTATTCGGTTTTTGACCTTTCCGATGAAAAAAAAAAACGGGGAGAATGACCTTGTCTGTCAGGGCCAGACGTTGAAGGAGGAGGCAGTGCATATTACAGCCGCAGAATACTGAGATGAATGAAGTTTCTCAGGCTGGTGATTCGGCTTTCACACGGGTTCAGGATCAGTAAAGCATCCGTTTGGTTTCGAACGATTTAGATCACTGCTGGTATACGTTTTAGTTCAAAAGGAAAGGAAGCACTGAGAAACAGCGATCACAGACGTACAAGATCCACCCAAAGAGCTGCAACGGGCCAGTCAGACTTCCTGAGAAGATTAAACAGGAAGCAGACTTGACTCGCGCAGCTAAGCCTTTTTTTTTTTTTTTTTTTTTGCTGTATTTTGTGCACTAAAGTACACTGTTTGCCTCTATATTTGAAATATTTTTTATCTGTACAGGTTTTAATGTTATTACTGCTGTTTTTATTTATTACTAGGATTGATAATGTATTTCTTAGCTGAGAAACCTTTTGCGTGAAGGCTTGAATTCTTGGCTACACAATTTGGTCTTTAAAAGAAGATAAAAGAAAAAAAGTTTGATGTTTTTAATTCCCTTCATTTTAAATGTAGCCTACTGGATTTGGTTGTGTTGCGCTGAAGATTGTACACTTTGGAATGTACACGTGTTTCTGAGATGACCGCTTCATTGACTGATTTCAAACGCAATAACGTTCTTTTCGTGTTTATATGTATCCTGTGTATATAATCTTTTCTATCTCCGAAGCATTTATGTATACTCATACATACTTGACATTGTACAGTTAAGAAGAAACAAGGCAGGAATTTGCAATAAGTACAGCTGATATTTTTGTAAACATTGTTTGCCGTAGCATAAAGTACATGTTGGGGTACTATTAAAAGTTAAAAAAAATAAGGCAAACCACTACATCCTTTACCCTTTCAGCTCAACTTCTACCATGCCTTTAATGCTAGCATACCAATGAATGTGAATGCTCCATTCTTATGGAATTGTTTTATAAATAAAAAATTTTATCTGTGAATGACATCTGGGGAGCAGCGTTTTTTTTTTACTTACCTTTCAAAGTCTGCCACTTCAGCTTTGCATATCCTTTATATTTTTTATTTTTTTATTGACAGGTAAAAGCAGTGCTGGAAAATAAAGTGTCTTATCTCAGGCTCAGTCCCAGGGCTAGACTTGACGGACCGTCCCTGATTAGCTGTCATAAGAAATGCAGAATTCTATATCTGGGTTTTGGAAGCAAAAAAAAAAAAGGTATATCCTCAATGGAGAATATATAATTATTGACAGAAGTGGGGCACAGTTACATGAAGAAAGGCTGGAGGGAAAAAAAAAAAAGCTTGAGTGTGGTGCTTGGATTTTATACACCAACGTGTGAAATTAAGCGATCTGCTTGTTGGGAAATTTACTGTCGGCTGATTACATTCGGCACCTCCCCGAGGACAGTTCATTTGTTTTCTCTTTATAATCATCTTTCATATTAACGCCAGCGAATGGAGCGCGCCGTAAGTCTCATTCATTTCCCACTGTTATCTGCATAGCTAGATAAAGTCGGCTTCATTCTGCTGCACGCACGGCGCTGACGTTTTGTCAATAAGAGGTGAATGGATTTAAGCTGGAGAAAACCCACGTAAATGTTTGCTGGGTGACAGTGTTTCATGGTAAAACAGTGGCCAGTAGCACACAAGGAGTCATAAATACTGTGAGTTGACACGAAACGTCCGCTTAACAGCAACATCTAATGAAAGTCATCATTAGTGGAGGATCTTTAGCTTCAGTAAAAGTGTCAATAAGGCAATATTACATGTTTTTCTCAGCCGCTTTGGTTCATTTCTTGAATCATTTGCAAAACATTAAGTGCATTTCTCTGAACAATTCACACAAAGAGCAAAACTCCATGGATTACCTGCAAAAGGCATTTACTTGCTCAAAATCCTTCGTTCATCTCTCTAAATAACTAAATATCTTGTCAATGAACATGTCAGTGGCATCAGAATGACAAGTCCTTGTGTCAGTGTGTACGGATAAGACAGTCACATTGTTTAGTCATGTTGTCAGTATAACAGTGCACTATGGAGGGATGTTCTGATGTCAACTATGGCTGAAGTTTTGATGACAATTATTGTAAATTGTGAGTTACACCTTAGTGTATGTGGGAGGTTGATGGCAAGAGACTGGACAAGATTCACATTCAGGCTGTTGCTGTTTGTCCTGTAAGTTGTTGACAGATCATGTGACTGTGATACAGAAAGGAAAAGACAGCACTGCTTAGCACAAAGAGAAAAACTAAAGTAGAAATATGAACATAGTTCAGTCTCCTTAGGGAAAACTGTACATGCAGTGCTGTAGGAGTTACAGTGCAGTCTTCCTCTATACTTACCAGTTGATGGTTCATAAGATGCACCTTTGAGCTTTTCTAGAAAACTGGTTGATCTATGTCATGCTACACACACTTTGCTTTATTAGAGAAACTCAAGATTCACCTGGGAGCAAGGTACCAATTTAGGACAGATTTGCATGTAAATACTGATGCCATGAACTAATGCCTAAATGCTGTGGGGGTGAGACTGTTCAACAGAGACCCATTAAAATACATTTTGATCAACATGACATAAGCAACTGATAATGTAGGAAACAGCAGAGAACTGTACATAATCATGTGCATGGCTGTACCAAA